AAACAATTAGCAGAGAGTTCATTCAAGAAATGTATTGTGATTTTAGGATTTTTGCGGCTTTTAGCGCTGCCAATATGCACAGGTGTGTATGGCAATTTCGAACGCAAATATTTGTTTATAACTATAGCAATATATTTGAGAAGGGCATATTTTATTTGGTATTTTTTTTTATTAAGATATAGAAAATATAGAAAAATATTTATATTTGTATTGGTTTTATAACTATATTCGCGCGTATTGTTTTGTATAATAGTCAGGGCCGGATTGAGGGCAAGGCCGACGTGGACAGCGGACCGAGGCCCAACATTCCGGAGGCCCCTACAAAATGAAAGAACAAAATCATTTCTTTTTATTAGCACAAACGATTCTTATTGCTATACAGTGTTTATTCTTTTATATTTTATTTAATTTTTTTACACAGTTGGTTTAAATATACTCGTAATTTTATTCTATTAATTAACACTGTCGATGTTATCATTTTACTTTAACTTGATGGACCCATTCACACTGGCCACTGGTAACCAAATAAATACTTGCAAATACCTCGTATTGTTTGAGGCGCTGATCAACGTATTGTAATGACGGCAGGTACTCACGTAAATCACAACGAAATTTGTTAACTGTCTGTTATATAGGCAATCACTAGTGAAATCCAAATGAGATGAATTATAAACGTACGAAAAAACTATCAGAAAATTCTCCAATACTCATAGTCGAGTCGCCCGAGTAAGATGTTTGCTTTTAACCTTTCGGTTCTCAGGCATTTGCAGCGCAACTTTCAGCGAGAGACAAATTTCACACGAAAGCTTTTCTTGCAGTCATTGCCGAATTAATTAGTGCACTTAAAAACAAAATCTCTGCTTATGAGTTGGTTTACGAGCGACTAAATTTTATTGGTGACCTGATACACATGAAATCAGGTGATATCGAAGCAAAAAAATTGTGGAAACATACCCAAGACAATTAGAAGCCTCCTTTGGAAATGAGCACATCTAACTCAAAAATTTTGCAAATCTCTACACAAAAGGAGAAAACAATTAAGACATTATTATTCTACGATTAAACCTGTCTATGATGCTAACGAATTGCACAAGTGAAAGATGCTTCTTCAAGTTTAAATTGATGAATAATCGACACCGTACATGTGTGGAGGAAGGCCGACTTATTGACCTAGTTTGTTTTGAGTTCAGAAAGAGATATAGTGCGCGAACTAAATTTAAACGATTGAGCTCGTACAGAGTCGCTGCAGTAGTACCATCTCAATATACAGTGTTATGTACTGTTAACACGTCAAAGTATTGATTAATGTATTACTTATGAAATGGGATATCTGATTATATAATTAACGACCACGTTGAAACAAATTGACGAGTAACTTTTCAATGAATTGTATAAAAAAGAGCCCACTCGTATCGTGACCTCGTGGACCCCATATTATTGATTCGGTTCTGACAATATTAATCAAGGTATTGTCTATCTGAAGCTGTAATATTTTCCAATTTTTCAGACAATTGGTGGATTATATCCAAAAGAACTGTGCCGGCTTGCCAGCCAAGAATGAACCAAATAAATTTTTGACACCCTGTTCTGGTGTTAACTATATTCCAGAGATGACATTATGCAAATGGTTGTCAGAAGGGGTATAATACAGCTCGCCTTTCTGTTCCCACCGAAGACATAGCATTACCGCAACGTCATGGATATTCAGCTTTGCCTTTGATTGACTAGTTGGACGTTGACGTAGTGGATCTATTTTTCATCACCGATTACAATCCGATAAAAAAACGAGTTTTTTTCGTAACGTTAAAGCAGCATTTTCGACGCTTGACTTTAGTTCATATGTCACCCGATTTCTTCCGTATAATTTTAAACGTTTTAAAATGGATGCTTGTGTGACTACCAAAGATTTGGCGAACTTTTCTCGCATTTGACAACAATCTTCATCGAGTAGAGCTTCCAGTTCTTTATCTTCAAACTTGTTGGCCGCATTGGACATTCGTCGTCCTGCAAGCCAAAATCATCACTTTTAAATCCTGCATACTACTTTTTGCTTGTTCGCTCAACTAGAGCATATTCACCATTAACTTTTACCAAAATACAGTGACATATACGAAAAAAAACTTCACAAGGATAAAAGCTTTCCAAAGTATGTTCTCAATATTGTAACAATGGAGTAATAATCATATTGTGCCATCTTGTGGCAAATCGCACGAACATATGTATAGACCCATTATATAAGCAATCAACATGATCAAGACTATTTTTTCAAATTGAACAAAGTTAAAAAATATTTTCATTGAATTGAAGAATTTATATATAATTATTTTATTAGCAAATGTGTTCAAGTAATGACATAAGCGCTGTTCCCGATTGATATTTTTGATTACGTAAATTTTTTAAATTTTTACAATTTGTATGTTAATGGTTTTCTTAGATATCTGATTTAATATTTCCTTTCAAATAATAGGAGATTGATGTTGCAATGACATCATAGACTTACTTGTTGGATACAATGTTTGCAAACGTTCAATTTCAAACTCATTTAACATTGCAACCAAGCATCAATTTTAAACTAATACTCACAGTGTCATTATATTACCGTAAGTGGCTTTGCTTGTAGACAATATTGCATTAGCATATTAATCGACCACACGCACAGCATTGCATGAAGGCATAAAAGGAGGTACGAACTATGCACTCCTCGGTATAAAAAATAAATGCAGTTTTTAATTAGGCAGACACAAAGGTTTTATTTTACAGAAAAAATATTTTACGCTAGTAGTTTTTATGACTTTACATAAAATATTTACACACATACATACATACAAAGGCATTTGCATGTTATGTTATTAAAAGCAATCATGCCATAAAACTCATTTGCCAGCGTGTAGGTTTTAATTATGTTGTCAGAGATAGACAGCCTACATGCATTGCAAGTGTGTGGTTGTGTGCGTGTTGTAGGTGTGTGTGTGAGTGCGGAAATGGATTTATTGTGTACGCTGGTGAATTTAAAAATAGCTAAATGTCATTTCCTTTGCACGCATTTAAAAATAATTCTTCATTTTATTTCTGCTCCGTTACATCCTTTTTAACCATTCTCTTTTAAATGCTCTAATACAATAAGGGAGAGTTGGAGCTGAAGAGTTCCACTACAATGCCCCTTAATAGCAGGCATTCAAACTATTAGTGTCAGCATTTTTAAATGCACTTAGCATAAAAATGGCGCGCACCTTTTGATTTGCTCTATAATTAAATATAATTATGACGAACGCTTAAGTTCTAATACCATTTATAAGAGTAGTCCATAAAGATTAATTACTTTATTGCATGTAAATTTATATTTTAAAGCAAACTCATACGTTTCTAAGAATGAGAAATTCTATGGAAAATGTAAGAAAAGCGTAAATTATAGCATATCTATTCTTAGAAAGTTGCGATATTTCAATATTACGTGGTATTGCAAAAAAAAAAACCAAAAAATTACGTTAACTTATATTGCACCGAAATGAGAATTAAATGAAAAAGTTTTCCATACAAGCACTTGATTCCGATTGTTCAGTTTGTATGGCAGCTATATGCTATGGCGGTCCGATATCGGCGGTTCTAACAAATGAGCAGCTCCTTGGCTAGGGAAAAACGTGTGCAAGATTTCAGATCGATATCTTAAAAACAGAGGGACTAGTTTGCGTATGTACAGACAGCAGCACAGACAGACGGACGTGGTTAAATCGACTGAACTCATCATGCTGATCATTTATATTTATATATTTTAAATATATAACCTCCAACTTTTCCTTCTAGGTGTTATAAATTTCGGGTCAAACTCTAAATACCCTGTGCAGGATATAACAATGAAAAATTAGCGATAACGTTAGCTACACCAACGCGTTTTTACCCTTCAGAGGTGCATTTTTATACCAAGTATATATTATATATTACCAGCTAACTGTTTGTCTCCAATGCCAAAAGTTTCGCTTGTTTTTTCTAGCCACGTTGTTTGATATAAACGACCTTCAAGTCGAATAAGACTTACTTAATAAAGAAAAAATATATTTTATGAAAATCTTAGTCCCGATTTTGATTGATTACTCATTTATATTTATACTTTATACACAAATTTCGTGACAGACTTAACATATACTGCGGCGTGCTATAAAAATGTAAGCGAGTGTACATATTTTTGTTACTCATACGACGTGACGCCCGTAATTCCAGTTGTCGTTGAAATAAGGAATTTGTTACACTATGTAATGTTTATAAATCACTCGTTTCTCTTTTTTGCAAAAAGTATACCTACGAGGCTAAATTTCTTTTGAAATGATCGTATAAGCACTTATGGTAATTGAGAATTATTTCAATCCGATCGCCCCCACCTATACCGTTTACAGGAATAGCATGCATAAATTACCAAAAATGCAATCTTTTTGGCTTTAACTAATCAATAATCACTAACCGCACTATAAAATAACTAATTTTTTTAACTTATTCCAGAATTTTAATGGCGAAAAGCCACTCTTTGTTGGAGATCAGACGAGCTGCAGCGTTATATTGAAATACTTCCCAGCAGATTTGAGTTTTTGTTGCTTGAAATAATCAAAAAGTAAGCATATGATAATTTCAAGCGGTATGCATTACAAACTATTTGATAATTGAGTCTAAGACGATTTCAGCTGATGTAGCTTTTTGTATTGAGCCAACAAATATATTATGTTTATTCGTTTTTTCTGTTTACAAATATTTGGTACTTCTGAATCAAAGCCCTGTTTTTATGTATATGAATAGATGAAGTTTCTAATTCGTTGCTCAAAATAACTAAAATTTTCTAGAGTCGTCATCTAAATCTGCTTTTGAATAAATATTTTTAAGATTTTGTGATTTTTCATTATTTGCTTTCATTATTTACCTTTTTTGCTTTCTGTCGATATTACTTACCAAATTTCAATTTCCTTTGTCAAAAACTGTCTATACCATATTTATATAACTACAATGAAAACGAAATATTTTACATTAAATATATTCACGTGTATATTATTTATTTATTTTTCGACATTTGACTTCCATCAATTACATTTCGGTAGAATTAATCCATATTCCATGTACGCTGTCTTTGCATATACCATACTTACATTTAACTGTATATATAAGTGTGTGTAATGTTGTCTGTAACTTTGTTCGTTTTGCATGGATTTGCTTTTACAATATATGCTCTGTTATTACATATGTATTTAAAACTTAGGATTTGGTTGCATTCTGGGCAAATACTCGTATATGGCGGGTTAAAATTATCGCATTTATTTATTTTTTTTATTTTGAGCGTTTGGTTAAAGAAAAATATATTGAACTGGTACCTTTGTACATTTAGTTAGTACTGAGAACTTTCTGCGGCTTTTTTAATTTTTTATAATTAAAAAAAGTTTAATTTATTTGTGGGAACGAAATTAATGTCACTTGCGTGCGGTTTGAAAGCAGGCTGCTTTTAAAAATTATTTCTTTGTTTAAATTAAAAAAAAACATTTCATATTTAAATTTAAATATTTCAAAAGTAAGTAATTTTAATTTTAATATTGTATATTTAAGGCATACAAATTATTTTTTGCTTCCCTTTTGAAGTTGAATAAATACCGGCTGTGTCTTCATACACTTGTTTGCATTGAAAAGTTCGGTCGATTTTATGAATTCACCCGTAGCAGTAATTATTTATTTAAAAAGAAATTTTTTGTGGTTTTTTTATTTTTTATTCACCAGTTTGCGAAAACTGTTGCTGCCTTGCTTAAGCATTAAATATAATATAATATAAATTAATAAACTTCATTTTGCTTATAGCTAATAATTATTTATGTGTATATAAGCATTTTTATACTTAATTAAATATTTTATTTTCGCTACAAAGCCTTTTTGATTCACCTAAATTATAGTAAAAGCATTTTGTTTCTGTTTTGGTTGTTGTATACAAATAAACAGCTGTAACTATTTGAATAGCGACTTTTGTAAGTAATGTAATTTTTATTACTCATTTAATATATATTAGCAATAAAAAAGAAAAATAAGTTTTTAAACGCCTAATGGCAAAAGACTTAAACGTTTTCTAGTATGCGCACTTAGAGTTAGTTGCTATGTGAGCTGTAAATCTATATATCTATGTATATGTTTATATATATATAAATATATATGTATAGATATATTTAACATTAATTTTATTTCATTCTTAATCAGTTTAAATTTAATTGATTTTTTTTTTGTTTTTTCTTAATTATTTTTTTCTTAAATTTTTTTTTTGTTCAGTTTGCCTTTTGCTTTTATTTGGCTTCACTATATTTATCATACATACATATATGTATTTAAATATGTCCAATACCTATATTTATACATATCTAAATTTATGCTCGCTTAGACTTAACACATACTTACATATACTTATACACTTGCATATGTATTGTGTATATACTTTTATTACTCTAAATTTACTTACCTTTTTAAAATTTATAAATATTTTATTTTATGCCTCAATCGTTTCATGTATTGAACATTTCATATTTTCGCAATTATTTCTAACTTTCGCAAATACTTTCAATAAATATTTGTGCTTTTTAATAAATTAGTTCATCAAGTCCTCTGGCGCTCAATTTGTTGACTTTTTACTTATTACCCACCAATTTACAATAACAGCATTGACGTCTGTATATATGTATGTATGCGTGTGTGTGTGTGGATTTTGCTACGGCCACAACTCATTTTCGTCCAGCCACTGCTAATTTTATCTTGGAAATATGCTTTTATGCACCGTTTCAACTATTGATTCTACTGCATTTCACTCGCTCTAAAATGCTATTATGCCGCTTGTATGTGTGTGTGTGTGGGTGTATGCTTTGCTGGCAGTTCATTTTATTTATTTGGCGTAAATTACTATTTTATTGATGCCATCAATCAATTATTGGTTTACAAATTGGCTGTGAATTCAATTTCTGGAAAGTTATTTTCGTAAGCCAAAATTAAATTAAATGTTGTTTTGTAACATAAAGCTAATGGGTTTGCGGAATACAAATATAGTATATATAGTATATGTATGACTCTATAAATGCACTTGTAGAATTGCAAAGAAAAGTGCATAAATTTGCATTTTATTTAAAAATATGCACTACACTACACAGGATTCCGCTCAATTGAGTTAAATATTCATTAGGCAGAAATACAATTTGAATACTTTGAAACTAACAACTGAACCGTGTGGGTGATGACTATGAATTATATGTATGTATGATTGCACTAGAGTTAGTTTTGTGTTGAACAAATTTCTAGTATGAAGTGTAGACATATAAAATTATAAATATCGGGAACAGATGATTTCGGAACTCGGTTATTAAAACGATCGACAGTACCCGAATACAATAAGTACCATAAATTAGTATTCACAAGACTCAAACCCCTTAAGGAATATTGTAGAAGCCAGTAAATACTAAGAATAATAGGAAGAAATTATAGGTCTGATATTTAAACTCAAGTTTCAACTCAGTTATCTCAAAATTTGTTTATAGGACGTATTTGTTTTGGTTCGAATTTAATAAAAATTTCTCATATCCAAGGCAGTTGGTTTTTTTTCAGATTTATTCATTGCCGTGCGGAGAATTCAGTATTATTAGTTGAAGTACACATGAAAAATGTTTTAACTGTAATATAGAATAAAGTATTTTGCGATAGTGTATTATATAGCAAATGTTGGTTTGTGGTACGAATATTTATGCGATGTAGTGTATGAGACAGCACATTTCCTGTGGCTTCAGCTCCTTGATTGTCAGCTAAAATTAGTACTATTTGCTAGCCCAGCAAACTTTAATTTTTTCTAATTGTATATTGTTTTAGTCCTATTGAAGAGTATATTATGTTTTTGAATATGAATTATGAAAATAAAATAATTTTAGCAGAGAAACTGATTAAAAATATGAATATTTTCAATTCGGCAATTTATGTTTTTTTCTTGCTTTTATGCTGATTCTGATTGAAACATTTATACAGTAGTGTGAAACAGCAAGTAACTGAAGACCTAAAAAAAGTTTACTGTCAATGCTTATTCACAAATATTATAATTTATGGAAAGCGCCTTATAGTTAATGCGAGCTGTATTGCTTCTGCCAATTTTTTTTTTTAACTTTCCAATTAGGTTTTCTTTAAAATGCATTTTAGGTATCTATAACTGAGTGCTCTTATATACATATGCACATACATGTATGTATGTTTATAGCTGCTGCTTATAGCTTCTCATTGATTTCTCATACATTGCCGTTTATACAAGTGTTATTCTTCGCATTTCTATTATTCTGACTTAAAAATATGAGATTTTTATATTGACACTTGATAGTTCTTTTTACACTTACACATATAATTTTGTTACACTTGCGCACACACACATGCACGTTTCTATGCATTTGTGACTATATTCGAATATGCAAATTCGTAGATATTTTTGCATATTTTCTGCTTTAATGGCTTTGGCTTTCCCCATTACTAATCATTACTATTTCATACACCTAATATTATTATTAAAGATTTTTTTTGTTTTTGTTCTTTATTCCTTTATACATTATCGCATTATCAGTCTTAGGCTACCAAAAATGTTTCGCAATTTAGCAAACTAATAATTTAATTGAAACGAAAATATTTTGATGAACATAAATTTTATAAATTTATAATTGTATAAATAATTCAGTGCAATAAATACAAAAATGGTAAAAATGAAGAGCGAGCAGTTTGTGTTCTTATTTGCGCACACATTTGCTTAGCATCTATTCCAAATTGCAAAAATAAAAATACAAAAAATATAAATATATATTAGCTATTATAAATTAATAAATTATAAAAAAATACAAATAATTTAAGTTTGATAAAATTAATTTTTATTGTAAAAGAATTAAAAAAAATTAGTATATATTGCTATTAATAATATTTTTATTCTTAAAAATTTTAAGCAGCAACTTTTTTACAATTTTTTATATTATATTTCGAAGCATTTTTTCAATTTCGCTCACTATTTTGACGATAATCGAATGCTTACAGTGTATTTTTGCCTGTTTCAGTTTCCCTAGTGAACTACCACTAACCCTACGAGTCTCTAACTGCACTATAGAGTTTACAATATTCATGGCAATTTACATATACTTAATATATAATATGTTACTTACAAATATCATGTATGTATGTATATATTACAAGCGCGTCGTTTGTGTAGCTGTCTCTTAAGCATCTATGGTAGTTGATAAAGTCAAGGCATAGAGGTTTTGGTTAAATTAGGAATGTTTGAGAAGATATTTTTTTAATAAAAAAAATAAAATTAAATAACATAGAAGAAGTCAAAAAGCTTGATAGATAATAATAATAAAAATATATTTTTTCTTCAAAATTTAAAAATGATCTCGGAGATCGGAAATAGTCGATGGCTTGTTGTACCAGGTTAGGTTAGATTATGATGTCGATCCTAATAGAGATCTTACTTTTGGTTGACCTCCGTTGTGATACTTAATACTCCTTCATAATAGATCACAACACCCTCACAAATCGACAAAACGCTTTGAACCTATCACAAATTTCTTGAGATGGCTAATTACTTCGCCGATGGTAGGACTACCGAGATGTTTCAATATCAGTTCTGTAAAGGCTAGACAATGGAGTTTGTTATACCAATTTGAAATAACATTTGGTGGTAATGATGAGCGATTTCTAGTCACTAAATCATAGTTTTAAGTAAATTATAGAACCTATTACTAAAGCTGAATTACCAAAATTTTAAACTTTTTTTACTCTAATCTTTACCTTAAAGAAACTTTGGGAAGTCTTAATTGAAAAAATTCCTAAAAGTCATTTAAGGACTACCCATACTTTCTTGATTATTGACACTGCAAAAAATCCGAAACAATGTAAAGATCACCGAATAATTATTTTGGTTTACAGGGTAATATTCTGATAAATCATCGAAAGCATTTTCAGCTTATGAAGTCGCAAATCTAAGATATTTGGTTTTTGGTGCAAGCAGACTATAACAAGGCTATAATATGTGGTCTTGCCAAACTAACCGAAATCGATCTATTTATTCGCAACCAGATCTAGGGGCAACTTTGGAAGCAGACCTAACAGAAATTTAGTAGTAAATAACTAGATATTTTTTCTAATTATAATAAAATTATGAAATATTTAAATATGTATGAACTAGGAATCTTAAAAATAATAATCATCTAAAGGAAAAATGTATAGTTCAGTAAATTGTTAATCAATTGGAAAACAAATCAAAACATATAAAATTAAAAAAAAAAAAAATTTATATAAATTCCAGTCACAAGAATAGAAAAAGGAATGCTTGCAAAAACCCTTTCACTGTTTTTTTGTATATATTTGTGTTATCATAAATTCTGCAACAACTACGACGCATCTGGAGGTTGCCACATTTTTTTAGCAGCAGCAATATAAAAACATTTACACTTATTTCCGTTTAGCTATTTTCCATTTTAGTGCTTAATATACTCTTTATTTATTTTCAGCTTCGCTTTTTATGACTTCAGCCGTTTTTGCTTTCATTTATTATTTATTTAGTTTTAATATGTTCATTCACTTTGTTGATTTTTGTAGTTGAAAATGAAACACCAGTACATCGGAGGTTTTTTGCTTTGTAAATTCACACATTTTTGTGCGTGTGTGTGTGACATGTCTGCAAATGTATTTTTAAGAGTTTTAGCAATTATTGTGTTTATATAAATATTTCAATTAAGTGTTTTTTCGCACTTACAACTTATACGCGTACTTGTTTAAGTTTCTTCAATTCTGGCGGTGAAATTCAATTCGCTTGACCGAGCTGAATGAAATGCATATTTACATACATACATATACAAGTATAGTTATTTTTAACAGAATTTGAATATTTTATTAAAAAATGTTTGTGTGTTTTTACGAAAGCAATACTTTATATTTATTTACAACAGTATTTCATGAAGCGCATTAAAAACGTCAATGAAATCAAAAACCTTTTTTTATAATTTTTACTTTTGTGAAATAAAATCCGTAAATATATAAATTATTAATACATATTTCAATTAAATTTTTTAATTATCTGTAAGCGCTTAAGTTGAACTTGATAGCTCGGAAAAGTTTGAAACTCTTTTGAAAAGTTATTTAAATTAATAAAATTATAATTCTGAATTGAAAAAGTTTTCCACTGTCAACATATATTTATTATTGAAATACGACAAATAAATAGTATTTATAATGGCAAAAGTTGCAGTCAACTGGAAGTTTTCTAAACTTCTGTAAAACCATTCCAAATATTGCAATTGTCCAATAGCTTTACTTGTAGTTTAACCCTTTATCTTTCTTGCTCATATCTGTTTTGTTATTAGGTCTAGATCAACGAGTATCATGCTATGCCCGGAAAACATAATGACTATTTGTCGACAAGATATTGATAGACAAATCAAAACATTCTTTATAAAGAAACACATACAAAACATATATAGTTCTCCAAATTATGCGATCGAGGTTTGCAATTAAATTATGTTCCAACGCTAATGAAATCTGTAGAAGTTTTTTCTTTGTTGGCGATATTGCTTCCCTTTTCTGCTAAATTTGAAGATTGCAATGATTTGTGATATAAGTAATTTCCATATTTCAGAGTTGATGGGTTAAACTCATCGAAATCATTTTATTCAAATAAAGTTCTTACTATTAAAGTCTGAGATATTATATTCAAAATCAAAATAAAGAATCGAAATAAAAGCAAAAATTATAAAATATTGCCTATATTTCGGCGCAAAGCTAAAATTAATATGCCAACAAACGCTTCCACTTACAACCTATTTCTCCTATAGGAAATTTACAAATTTTGAATGCGTAACGGTAAAGCGAAAAATATTGCCAATTTTATGGCTTTGTTGGTCTATTGTTTACACTTCAAGACCAAATTAGCAGAGTCGTATTTTTATATATCCAATTTTTTAAGAACTCTGTGACAAGTTTAAGTACATTTCTTAGATATGGCTGTGAATAAGATTTCCGCCAGATGGGGAAAGAGTGGAGCGGACTTATCCATATAATTATCATCTGAACGAATTTGACTTGGAATGACAAAAAACATATACACGTTTTAATATAAATCTGCACGATCGCACCCATCAAAATTATTTTAACCAAAAATATGTCCCTTTAAAATCCAAAGGCAAAATAAATTAAAAAAATTTTGCATACTTTTTGGCGCAATGTTTAAATAAATGCGTTAACAAAGGCTTCCGCTTTCAGCCTATATCACTTATAAGAAATTGACTATAAATTATTTTCTAATATTAATAATTTTTAACAATAAAAACTTTTTTTTAGGTTAATTAAAAAAAAGGAAACAATTTCTTTTCTTAAAATGTTTAATTCTTTAATTTTTCTTTACTGTTGAAGGTAATTCTAATTAAATCAGATTAACCTAAAGCCAAAATATTTTCATATATCCTGAAAAATTTGGAATAAATAGTCTCGTTATTTAAAATTTTGGTAATTTTTTATTAAAGAAATAAAGCAAGCACAAGTCGTTGTTCTATAGCTATGTTATATACTTAAAATTAATTAGTAAAATTAAGTTAATTTTTGGGCATAAGTAAAGTACAGTCAAATATTTCAGAAAAAGAAAACAAAATACAAAATCTAAAATCAAATTAGAGTATAGAGTAAATTATTTCGCTAGATAAAATGAGAGTTACTTAAGCTCAGTGTAGTGGCATCGCCTCGCAAGCTAATTTTGTGTCCCCAGTACCAGACCGACACGGTTGCACAGAATAGATCGTTTAATATAAAACTAATACATGTGTTTAATTGTATGACCAACACATGGAAATATACACAAGACTAAAGAGATAGATTGTTGACAAAAAAAACTGAATAAAAATAGATATGTAACTTAGCGAATTAAAAAATTTTTGCTGTAAAATAGAAAAATTACGTGAAGCGGCGTATTTTGTTCATTTTAATGCATGAATTATTTTTACACTTAACCAATTAGTTTTTACCATTTATATAGCAATATACATATATATGTATCTAATTTAAGTTTTTTATTCTCTCATTAGGCGCTAATTCCTATTTTATATTTTTAATTTTTTCGCTGCCCGACAGGCAAAAATAATTTATTTTGAGTTGCTTAAAACTAAGTGCTTTACCATTTGCTCTTAAAACTATACCCTATATTTATTTTTAATGTAAGGTATAATTAAATTTTAATTTTTCTGTGTGTGCTTTTGTAAGGTTTTTATACCAAAAAGAAAGTAAGCATACAGTTAATTGAAGCACGTCTTCAAGTTTTCTTATGTTTTTTGTGTTTAAACTTATTAAGCATTAAATGCTTAATAATATTTTTTTTTGTGTAATGAACATTACAGCTTCGTTTTTTTTAATTCATTGTGTATTATTACTTTTTTGCTTTATTTTATTTAGTTTTATTGTTATATACAATCATAAGCTAACTACAAATTATGTCTGCCCAGTTTTATACTAGTTCATTTAAGCTGGCCGACAGAAGCTGTTCATGTAGGCATTAAAATGTTGTTGTTATTTCTTTACTTCTTTAAGATTTCGCTTCCAGGTGTTTTTTAATATGTACAGTGTTTGCTAAAATCTGCGTTCAACTGCATTGGCTCACGCAAGAGATCGTTTCACATTAAATACGCTAACATGTGTATCTAGGTATGTGTGTGTGTACTGTTAGAAATTATTTGCAAATACAAAAACACCGAAAAATCGTTGCATAAAATTCTAATTCGAAATTTTCAATTCACTTCAAAATAGTTAAAGGAAAAATGTAAAATAATTTTTTTTTTTATAATTTATTGTTACAAATTACCACTGTATATTCCATATTGGCAATTGTCTACACACAAATATTTCCACAATATTCTTAAACGCAGATACACATTTAAATAGAATAAATGTTACCTATTACACCCGCGCGCCGTCCTTGGTGTTTAACCGATACGCCGTCTGCTGCTGAAGCGTAACATTATCGCCGCCACGCCCACCAAGGTCGTCGTTGCCATTGAAAGTGCGCTACCGGCCGACGACATGTTGCTCTGCGCCTGATTGCTGCGCACATCCATGAGATCGCGCGACAATGGCAACTCTGTCGGATCGCTAAGCTCGTCGTGACACGGCAGACGTTCGAGTTTCAATAAGAACAGACACACCTTGATGCCTAGCGGCTGTGGCTTGCTACCGCCATGTTCGTTGATTGTATTGGTCAGGCCAATCACATCATTGGTTTGCTGATTGTACAAAGCATTCTGTTTGAGCGCGTCCAAGCCTTCGCCCAGTTCGATTTGTTGTGCTAACAGCAGGCCATGCGGCGCAGCAGCGCCACCGCCTAAACCGGCAGCTTCGTCGTAGTAGTCACCTCTTATTTTGGCGGGCAATACGGATTTCTTTTTCTTCTCACCAATTATATTGACGGTGGCAACGTCTGGCATACCTGAAGCTGCCAAGAGCGCATCATTGTATACTTCCGGCTGACTGCTGGCGACAACTGTGAGCACATTGCCATCGGCTAACGAACGCTTGCTTAGCGACAATACGTGTTCACTGTGTTCGGGTGTTAGCGCAACGGCAGCAGCATCGATCACATCGACATTCTTATCGGCGGTTAATTGCATTTGTCCCAGACGCTGTCCGTTACCGCCGACACCGCGCTGTGTGCCACCATTTTGACGTGACTTGGAGAATCGTTTGCGTCCGCTATTGTTGCCACCGAGATGTAGTTCGGCGCTGTTGCCGCCATTGTAGCTGCTGCCAATGTTGAGTAGATCTAAAATATGATTTGGTACGGGCTCAACAAAGTTGGAAATTTTCGGATCATGCAGTGTGCAGACGAAAGTCTCGAGCGCCTCACGCAGTGCAGTATAGCGTGTACGATTTTTCAGCTCAAACAGCCATTGAAGACGACAATCGCAAACGAAGTTATTATCTGCAATGAATAAGGAGAATTGTTAATAATGTTACAAGTGGGCGATTGCTAAGGTCTCACTAAGACCATATTCAGATATTTGGGCGAAACAATGGAACAAGTAATTTTTGTTAGAACAATACAAAGTACTACTAGGGAATGCAAAGCACATTCGTGGACAAATAGAAGAAACACTGCTAGATTGACAAGCTGAAAATTGCTTAGCAGTTCACCAGCTTCGATGCATTGTGACCACGAAAGTTGGTGCGTAGTAGTGGAGCGCAAAATATTGCCAATTTATTTTTGCTCAGTTGTATACCCTTCTTAGCGAAGCCGTATATTTATATATCTTTTTTTTTAAGAACTCCGTGACAAGCTTAAGTACATTGCTTAAATATGATGCAATATTCTACAAGCTATGAATACAATTTTCGCCAGATGGGAAGGAGTTGAGTGAACTAATCTATATAATTATCACCTGATCAAATTTGAATCGAACCAAGAAAAAACCCTACATTTTTACTTATTCTATAACAAATGTTTATGATCGCCTTTAAAGTAGGCTCTTGAGTCAATACAGGGATGCTAACACTTTTTCCAATTTTCCTTACACGGGTCATAATTCTCGGCTGGAATGTCCTGCAGTGCCCTCGGCGAATTTCGATTTCGATTTAATGTATGGAGCGCCATTGGCTAGATTACTGGACAGTCTCGACGATATATTTATAAACTTACGTCTCGTCACCAATAGTCATGTGCTTAGTAAAGGTAGAGCTCTTTACTCGATACTGTTTTTTGCAAAAGACTCTGGTCTTTTGGTACAAGTCTAGCATTGACACATTTCATATCTAAATCATTAACGAAAATAAGTTGAGTCAATTCTCTGCTATCTCTCTGATACCAAGCCCGATGGATTTCAAGTACTGTTTGTTCAACTGAGACAAGTTTTCAATGAGTTCCCGAACTTCTTTGAATGGTTTGTGCCCCTTAAATATTTGTGTTGGTGATAAAGTAGACTTTCCAACTTCCACACTTATGCAAAATTTTCAACGATTCGGTCCAATGTTTCTATTGGAAATACACAATTCCAGTCCGTTGTGGTATTCAAAAACAGCTATATACTGGATCATAAGACCCTTACAGATCAATAAACGCCTTGCGATAATCACAAATTTGTTGAGACTCCGGTCGGTTTCGATTATGTTTTCTGGTCCACCGAAGGTAAGATTACTGAGATGTTTCAGCCTCAGTCTTGCAAAGGCTGGGCAATGGAGAAAAAAGAGCCTGAATGTTTCCACCTTACAATCCTACAAGATTTTAAGCACTACCGCATGAATGCCTATTGGACAGTGTCCATTAAGAACTCCCACGATTGCGGCAAGATGAACTTTAGGGGCAAGTAGATCTTTTTCCAGAAAGATCTCGCAGTCATATAGGAGCTGGTCGTCACCTGGTAAGCGCACGTGAGGTCCATTCCGTTGTACCCAGGCACCCAAACGAGTCCAACTAGTGAGGACAGACACTCCTTACCTAGCTTTAAGCGCACAGCTAGCGAGCTCAGCGCTAGTATTGCCCCTCTGCTAACGGAGTGCATGCTCGCCTCTCTGAAAGAAGCTGCATTTCGTAGCAGTATGTCTCCTTGATAGCAGTCACTTCTGCCTGAAAAATACTACAATGGTCGGGTAGCCTAAAGCTAAGATTGACAGAGAGCTCTTTACAGAAAACTCTCCTTTCAACCTTCCCTACTAGCTTCGACCCATCCGCGAAAAAGCTCACTGCGTCTTGCTAATAGGATCTTAAATGTTGGAAATTCGAAAGTCGCAAATTACTTGAAGTTTAAAAGAAGCTTTCTTGAAACTATGGACCACTAGCATTATATGTAAGGTGTTCATAAGAGTAAATATCCGCTTCCATTTTCACTACTTTAAGCAGCTTAGGAACTAAGCCGATTTCTTCTGAATATTCTTCATACCTTTTGCTGTCATAAAGGGTATTCCCTTTGATCATAATTTCCTGTTAACTGCATTTCCTCGATGTTCAAGCGAATGAATGTATACGCCTTGCAAACAGTTCAATGCGTTCAACCTGTGGCATGCGACAATACGCGCTCTGAATACAGTGTCCAATGCTTTTGTCTTTTGCTACGTCTTCTCGTTTGCTTTTGCTGTTGATTTCGCAACTCTTTTGTTTCGGTTGTGTTTTCTGCCTTTTACTAAAAGCGCACCAGCGCTGTCAAGCGTTTCAATTACGTGCTCAATTATTAGCCTTCACGCCCGGATTGAAGACAAAGGTCACCGACACACACACACATATACGGACGATCAAAGTATGCACCGCCTTGTGAACCATCCATTGCTTGCTCTCCACAATGGTTGGTAAAATGTATGCGCTCATCTTACCATCTACCGTTGGTTGCATACACATACATGCACACACGTACATACATAAATAAAGACTTTAGAAAGCGTGCGGCAATGGCGCTTGTCTCTGTTGCTCAGAAGCGGGCTGGACGTTCAAAGTGCGGCTTTTGTTTGCTCCTCGCATTCAAATATGTATGTACCCATTCGCCTCCTTGACCGCTCGCCAGCACTCCGTTATCGGTCGATCTATTCAACTATCTGTCACCCATCCACTTTCCGTCACGTTTACCAATTTCTATTTCAAATTGAAATTCGTGTTCTGTCTCACCAGGCTCCACACACATCCACACACACACACACACTCTCATACATAGATTTACATTTTTTCTGCTCGGCAACACATTGTCTTGCCTCGCATTGCCCGTCTCTTTGTTGACCTATGCTGCCTGCCGGTATTTTGTTTCGTTCGAATTGCCACCCAATTGAGTTGTCGCTGTCAATTTATAGAGTTGCTGCCGTCCGAATCTCAGTCGCATTGTGACTTGACGTTAAATTTCCAAAATTTTCAAATTTCATTGCTTGCTTCTCCAGCTGCATTTCATTTTATTGCAATTGACTTGGATTTGTGCTTTGTTGTTTTTGTTTTACTCCTCTTTCTTTTTCGATCCAAGCAATTGGCATAACAATTAAAATACTTTGACTTCAGTGTTGACGCTGTCGATTTCGATTATCCTCAAGGCATATCGGAATTGCAGTCAAGCTGCCATTGAGAATAGCAATAATAGATAGTTTATTACAATATTTGTTAAAAACTGTAGGCCGTTAGTAAAGTTTTGATTTCCGGAATTACAAATACTATGATTTCGATAGTTTTGCTTACTAAACAATTTTGAGGTTAATTTGGTTTTAGAAAATGTCAGTAGGCGACGAATTGTAATTGAAGTATATTAAGTTGAATTATTAACTTTTAAGACTTTGAGCTTACTTTTATACTCTGAACAGGGTATATTAAGTTTGTCGCAAAGTTCGCAACACACTGAAAACTTTGGAGACCCTGCGTGTCGCACTGAGTCGATTTAGCCATGTCTGTCTGCCCGTCTGTATAAATAGTCGCTAGGTTTTTTAAGATATCCACCTAAAACTTTGCAGACGTTCTTTTTTTCGCAAGAAGCTGCTGATTTTTTTTGGAATCGCTAGAATTTGCCAAACAAACAAAACTTTTTTATTTGACAGGATATCTGTTCAAAATTTTGCACAGATTATGACCTTAAGAAATCTACAACCTCCGAAGAAATGATTCAGATCGAACAGTTATAGCATATAGCTGCCATACAAACTGATGGATCTAATTCATGATAAAGATGTTTAGATGCCCTTTGTATGTAAGATATTCACCTGTGAATGGTTACCAAATCTTGGTACTACAAAAAACAAATTTCATCGGTCAAAAAAGTCAATAAGAGACGTTGAGAACCTTTGAGATTTCGCTAGTAATTATGTAACGATTTTTAAGCACAATTTAATATATTGTTTGAAGTCTTGAAGGAGTCAAATTATCATCGCTTTACGACTTCCACTGTATGATTTGTGCCAATCAAATAGCTCAATTTTCGATAAAATGGACTCGCGAACAAACATTTTCAAAGTTCCGATGATAGTACTTCTTTCGAAAATACTAAATAACAAGCAACTCCTGCCATGTTTACCAAATAGAAATAAAAAAAAAGTTAGCGTGAAAAAACTTGACAAGAATTTTTTTTAATTGTTAGATAACACTTTAAAGCGCTGCTAAAGCGAATTTCATGCCTGTTCAACCAAACTGTTGAAGGTTATGCCACCAGCACTACGTAAGTGGAAGAACCTCCGATTGCCTTTCCAGCGAAATAGTAATAGTAATAAAAGTTATATAAGTATATCAAAATAGCCGCATTTACATAAATATTTAAAGTTTTAATTTCGTAAGGCAAATTACCGTTAAGAAGACATGAATGTATGAGCATAATATGTGTGTCCAAATGCATGGCAAGACCACATCAAGTCAAATGTAAACTAACTAACCACTAACGGACTGAGTGGCAAAGTGACTTGGCCTCAAACCGCATTCCACTCAACTAACGGTCAAGTGTTCGTAAACTAATTTAAAACTAACTAAACACAATTCACTATAACCCAAAATGCACTTAGCAATTCCAGGCAACAGGCAACAGCTGCCTCAGTACCTACACACCATTGGAAAATAGGCAATGAAGGCAACAATTTTGGCGTAAATGTGACGGAAAGAGGCGACTTTGACTCTGAGAGTGCCAGCTTGGCTTGTGGCATTCCGACACATTTTTGAAAGGAAAGTTTTTGGGAAAGTGCGCGAGTACGTGTGTGTTATGCATATGTGTGGCAATAAAATCTAATGAAGTGAAGAGTACACACATTATTATACATACATTTTTTTGTAAAGTTAGCTTTGCGGAAGTAGACGGAAGTAAATGGTCATTTGAAATAAGTGCGACTGATTTCACAAATGTTGTCTCAACTATGAAATGTCACTTAATATTTGGCTTACGCGAAACAAGCGTGAAAATCTTGATTACTGCTAGAAATTTTAAATAATCATAATTTTGAGCTTACGCACAGCTAGATAGGTACTTTCGTGATTTTGCCTCGTTC